CTCCCAGAGTTGCAGAGTGGTCATGCTGGGGGATTCTGTGAATTGTAATAGAAGAAAATACCTTTTTCAAGATATGTACAAGAGTACTTCATGCCACACTGTATATTTAAACCCAGCCATCTTGCTGCACTATTGCTCTGACAAGATCAATGCAGCAGAGCCAGCCGTATAGAAAAATAAAGACATAGTTCTAAGCTTGATAATCTAAACCATTCCCCCTCCCTTTTCCTGGTATCTTCCAGCATGCAAATAATTCTCCTCAGCTCAAAGTGGTTATTAAACTTTAGAGTTATGGACCTATGTGAAACAAGCAGGTCACCTCTGCAATTTTTTCTTTGTACATTATTTTTTTCCACATCTGCCTGGAAACTAGTGGATGATGCTTGGCTACCTTAATGTACAGGACCAGCACCAGTCAAGAGGAAACACAGGACTTGCTTGTGAAATGAAATGTGCATGCAAAGATACTCATGGGGGTGGATGGATTCCATCCACCCATCCACCCCTATGAGTATCTTTACATGTGCATTTCTCTTCTGCAACAAGGCAACCAAGACCTACTTCTTGAATTATCACCTCTGCTAAAGGGATTAGGAATGACAGATGGTTCCTTTGTACCAAGTGCATGATCTGGCCTGGACACTGAATGGAAACTTACCTACCTTAAGGGGGGTGGGGGCTTTAACTTCCATGCCATTACTCCCTGGAATAAGTAGCAGTGAAACCAAAGCCACTTCCTATAAGTGCTGCCCCCATGGAGTTTTAACAGCCTCCATTACCAAGAGTTTAGGATGGTTTATGAGCTAACCCTTGGTAATGAGCTTGCTTAGTTAATTTCAATGGTTTGCAGGAACTATTAGCAAGCTTAATCCATTGAGAAAAACCCTGAGTCCCATGCAGACCTGCATGCACTTTGCAGCAATATTAGGATACTTTGTTACTTTAGGTACCTTTGTGTCACTCCAAAAGAACAGGGTTTATGGTATTGATTTAAACTTTAATAAGGGGCTCGCAGCCAACCAGCCAACAGAGAGCTTTCCTCGTAAACCGAAGGGAAGGCTGCACATTCCCCACACTGTGCTTCTCGTTGCAATCCGTTCAAACGCTACCCTTGCAAGGCACAACACTAACAAGCCGGAGCCAATTAAAAACCTGCCATTTCCATGAAACTTCACGGTACGTCTGTCCACGCCTGGTGGTCATCATGATGGCTCTCCTCCACAACAACACAGGCACCAGGCATAGCACTTCCGCCTGCTTTATTGCATGCATTTTATATACTGTCAACCAAGTATATTTCTCGTTTGTGCCACAGAGGAATGGTCGTACTATGTTTAGCAAGCACTGGGGAGCTCAGCCTGCTCTGGATATTAGATTTCTGAGCCCATGCTTCCTCAACCATCACTTGTATTGGAGAGTTCTACAAACTAGCCACACAAGCTGTGGACCAACATTTATCCCACTGATTTTCTTGCAGAGCCCATGAGAGATGCCTATTGTTATTGAAAGGAACAGAAACCAGCCCAGGACATGTCCGTGAAGCAGATAAATTTGTGAAGATCCCCCATCCCAAATTTGTATTGTAACTTTAAAAAAGCAAGTTATTAGTCCTCATGACTATGAAGAAAGTTTCAAAATGTGTGTGGTGGTTTTGTTAAATGTTCAGGCTGGAATTTAGCCAAGGTTTTCATTGTGTGCACTAAGAAGGGCATCTGATTCTGCAGTTTTCATTTGCTTCTTAAGTCTGAAAGTCACCAAAATCTTGTATCCATATACTCTCTGTATGGGCCTCTTTCTCATCGGCCTCAAAAAATAATGGAATTATTGTGCATACATACACCCCCAAAAAAGCCAAAATAAAGGTAAAATCACAATGGATGCATTCTGAAGTATTTTCAGTTTATCCTGAAAATAATAATAATAATAATAATAATAATAATCTTTCTTAAAAGAAAATTCTAGCTTCATTGCTTTTGGTACAATCTGCCAAGAAAGAGAGAGAGAGAGAGAGAAAAGTGAAGGGGGAGGGGAGGAAGTACAATAAAAAAATATAAACACTGCAGACAAAAAAAGGATGGATCCATGTTGAGCCAGCTGCTTAGCATCTCAGAAGTAAAAATACATTAGCCTCAAAATGAGCTGTGCCACATACTCCAAACACACACCACTCCTATCCCATGACCCTCCGCTCTGGAAAATATCTGCATGCAGTACTCACCCCCTCCAGCAAGCGTGGATCCCGGCATTCACCATCATCATTAAACAGAGCATCCCAGCTTTCATCTGCCATGATGTCATCCTCACCATAAGTTGCAGGACTGGCACTGGTTCTAGTGGGTTCCTCCCAACTGGATGGCACTGTCTGTCCAGCTTTTCCTTCTGCTTTGGGTGGACGCTTTAACCTCATGCCCATATCCCCATGGGTTGGCTTTTCCACAGAGGTGTCACTTAAGGCTGCCCCTGCTTTGAGTAAAATGGCCTCTGAAGAGCAAGCCATCTTCTCAGAGGCACATTCCAGGAACTGGATAGTAGCCTCTTGGGAAGATGCAGCACTGTCTCTCCCCTCAGTGCTTTGATCTCTTAAGTTCAAACTGGCCTCTCCCATCAATAGTGCAGCCTCAGAAGCATCAACTTCATACCTGTAGGTAGTACTGAAGAAGCAGCCCTCTTCCCCACCTTCATTGCTACACACCTGTCCTGTTTTATCCTCCACTATCTGGAAGACACAACAGGGCAGACTGTTTAATCTCCCACAGGGCCTATCTGAACAATTATGCCCTGCAGCAATCCCTGAGCCACCTTGGAAATGTTTGTTTCCACTCTCTTTTAGGTTATTAGTCAAAACATTCTCATCCCAGTATTCAGACCCATGTTCCAAGCTCATTCCATTCTGCTCAGACATGTGTTCAACTGCATGACTAGAAACATCATTCCCACACTCTTCTCCATCTTCTAGTGTGCTATGCTCACTTGTTTGTGCCTGAGCAACAACCTCTTTGGTACTACTGCCTGCCTCTGGTCCTGTCTGTGCTGCAATTCTCATGTGAGTATATTCCAAGATGCTGCTAGCACTCATCTCTGTCTGATTAGAGTTGCTCTCATCTAAACACAGAAACTGATCACCTCCAACCACCTCTGTGCAAACCAGGATGTTCTCATCAATGTGCTCCAGCAGGCTACTCTTGCCTATTGCTATCTGATTGGACAGTCTTTCACTTGTATCTGAACAATCATGTATTTTTGTGTTATCTGGAACCCGACTCCCCCCATTTTCAGGTATGTCATCCTGTCTTATTCTAGTTGGTTCCGAATCACCTATGGTTACAGACTTCCTTATGCTCTCTTCGCTAGCCAACATGCTCACTTCACTCAGCTGTCTCTGATCCATGAGTCTATCACTGTTGTATACTTGCATACTTTCTTCACTCAGCCCTACCTGGTCTGGAAGGAGTGCTCCTGACTGCTTGTTCCTGCCAAGAGAGTGAGTTCTTTGTAAAGAAAAAGTGTCCTGACTTGCTGATGGAACTAGGTGATCTTGTCCGCAAGTGCTAACTACCTTAGTCTGCCCTGCCTGAAGACTGAGATCTGCCAGTCCCTTTAGGCATTCAGCACAGGGTGTTGTGAAGCACTCCAAAGGCATTTCTACTTCACTGTTGGGCAGTTGTGTTGACACTGGGCCTAGGAGGCTGGAGAAAGGCAGAAACTGATGCAATTTGGGATTCTGTTGGAACTGCAGCCTCTCCTCTTCCTGCACCTTTGGGCTTGGGTTGCTTTGGCAGAATGCATTATGACTCCATTCAAGAGACAAAGTTTCTCTTGCTTGCCCGGGGGAGCCAGTTCCTCCTTGACTACTGTGAAGCAGGTTTCTTCCAGCTCTGGCACTCTGGTTCGCCTTACAGCCTTTAATGCTTTCCTTCTCTATGGGACAATGACTCTCCTCCTGCCCACAATAAGCACCGTTTTTTGAGATCGCCATATCCCGTCGTGCCCTGGGAACATATAAGGCCATATCTGGTTTCTTGGGCCGTGGCCGGGATTTCTCTGCATCTGGCTGCATAGTGCTTCCAGCACCTACAAGAAAGGAAAGCAATCAGTCCAATGTAGCAGTACAGCAATTCAAACCCAGGTGAGGTGGAAACGTGAAAACAACAGCACAGCCTGTGTAGAATTTGGTTTAGCTTGGAACAGACCAAGTTCCAGAAAATGCCTCTTCCAAACCAGAATTGTATTGAAAGGTAGGTAAGGCGGAGGCTGAGCTAGCTGAGAGAACAAGTTCCTCTGGTAAAAGGACCAGAGTACTGGTGTGCAAGCCATTATCTGCAGTTATGAAAGCATCATAAGTAACCAGAGCTGTATGCAATCTGTGATAAGGAAGACAAAATCCTATATCTAGTGTACAATTGGTTTTATTTCCTTTATTTGGCTTCAGAATTCCAATTCTCAATGGCCACATCAGATTTTTAAAAAATAAAATGGTACAGCAGCAGGAAAGAGAGGAGGAACAGGAGAGCATGAAGACAGTCACTAAATGCTCTCGAGTCAGAGACTAGATCATAACCAGTCATGGGGAAGGAAGACATATGGTAATACAAGCTACTGAAATATCACCTGCTTGCCTGTAATAATCCTGTATAACCTCCCCACCATCATTTTTATCAATATGTTTCTAATTTTTCCAAACACGCTGAAAAAGTAACAATAAACAGTGCTGCAATAGACTATCCCAACTACTGCTTTGAACATCTAAAAAACAAGTAATTCCATGCAGGATTATACAACACTATGGAACTTCTAAAAGATTATGTCTTTAGATGCATCTGAGAAAGTAGACTGAAGTCTATGAAAGGTCATATTGTCAACTTCTTTGTTTCAGTTAGTCTCAAAGGTACTACACGATCTCTCTACATTATGTCTTTAGATGTTTCACTTTCATGGTGATCTACACTTAGAATCACATATTATTCTGTAGAAATTTTTAGAGAAATACCTTGGTAGAGAGAGCCAGCATGGCATAGTGGTTTGAGTGTTGCACTATGAATCTGGAGAGCAAGGTTCGAATCCCTGCTTGGCCATGAAAACTCACTGGGAGGCCTTGGTCGAGTCATAGTCTCGCAGCCTCAGAGGATGGCAATGGCAATGGCAACCCCCTTCTGAAGAAACCTGTCAAGAAAACCCTGTGACAGGTTCTCCTTATTGTTGCTGTTTAAATCAGAAACGACTTGAAGGCAAACAACACAACACAAACCGCTGGGGTTTGATTCTAGAACTTCCCATGGATACCAAAACCCATGGATGTTCAAGTCTCATTATATACAATGTATAGTAACATGGTGTCCCTTATATGAAATGGCAAAAATCAAGATATATATTTTTTTGGGTTTTGAGGGGAAGGGAATATTTTCAAGCTGTGGATGGTGAAATCCATGGATGCAGAATTTTTGGATACAGAGGGACGGCTGTACTTTGATTACTCTTTTGAATTAGTAAACTACCTGTGCATCTTTTATACACCTTGCACCAGGTTTGTTGGCATCAAGTCCTTTGAAACTTTCTATTCCAGAACACTTTTAGATATCGTTTTAGCCCCACAGAAAGGAAAATCATCCCCAAATAGGTCACCATGACTTTGCACCAAGTGTAGAAGAGAATTCTGTTGTTTTATGAAATTTTCTTACCCAAGATTGCATTGCTATTTCCAAAATGTGATATGGGCAAGTTTCCATTCACTCTCTCTTGCACATCAGCCTTTTGACTCCACCTGCCTCAAGCTCTAACCAACTCCCCTTAAGGCTTTTATCTGTTTTGTCTCTATCCTTCAGAGAACCACAGTAATGGTTGTCATCAACCCTTCAAGGTGTTTTAATATTAGAAAAGAGATTGCTATTTACAAAATGCTGGAAGTTCACTCTCAAACTGACTGGTCCGATGGTCTACTTGATAAGTACACAAATCTTTGTCTCCAAATCTACTCTACTTCTGGTTTTTGAAGGATAGGAAAGCTAAACAGAATAAGCACAATTTAGAACAGGAGCAACAATCAAATGAAGAAAATAGTTTTAATCTATACTTGACTCCTAGCCTAAAGTTGCAATAGCATCTTCTGCTGTTTCAACCAACAGGTAATGGGGCGGGGGAGTTTCACTAGAGAAGTTTCTCTTACACTCAAGACTTCCTAATCTATATTCCACAGAATTGGCAATGGGTTTCTCTTTTTGTTGGTCATAGTGTGAATTTCCACTATCAAAGTTAGTCAAGTGGCAGGTGTCTCTTCTATCTACTTCTCTTCAGTTAACAAGCTTAAACTTCAGCTTGCTCATTTACAAGATGATACTCACATAATGATTGCATCCCACTTTGAATGTGTATGCATTTGTTGGTGAGAAAGAACAGGTGGTTGGGTGAATTTCTAAACAATGAATACCCACTAGAACAGACATGGAGGTCAAAGGCTTTTTCATCCTAATACATGTGTTGATCGGCTTATGTTGGATGTCCATGTTACCACTGAACTACTGCTTGTTAATGACCATTGTTAAGATAATGATTTGTTTATGTACCTTTAGAATTTCAATTCCCTAGATGCTTAGAATTTGCTTGAGAAACTGGGAAAGTCAAATTATGCCTAGCTTCAAAAACCCTGAACTCTGTACAATTCCTTCTCTGCACAGAATTCTCAACAAATGTAAAGCTGCATAAAAGAACATGGTTTGTTGATCCAGCAAAATGATTCTTGTTTACAGTGCAGTACCAGGGATCTCTATAAGAGATGTGAAAGTCTAGGGGGAAACACAGGGTTTTTTCCCCCTTCCCCTGCGCACAGGATAAATTTTCAATTTTTCCAGTGGAAAAATTGGAAACTTTAGGGGACACAGGGGGAAAAAAATGGATAATTTTTTCTACTTTTAGAATGAATGTTTTTTTTAAAAATAAGGTTTATTCACAATGCTTGAAATTGAATGTAAAAGCATGGAAGTAAAACAATCTACAGAATTAGAGAATGATACTGCTTGTGAATACATTGTTGTGTTGTTGTGTGCCTTCAAGACATCTGCAACATATGGAGTCCCTAAGATGACCCTATCACAGGGTTTTCTTGGCAAGGCATGTTCAGGGGGGATTTTGCCAGTGCTATCCTGTGAGGCTGAGAAAGTGTGACTTGTTCAAGGTCACCCCATGGGTCTCCAGGATTCTAGTCCAACACCCAAACCAGTACACCATGCTGACTCTCTCCGCATACATCAGACATACAAGACTCACACACAAGATGCATTGGGTGCGTGGTTTCATTTTCAGGGGAAGATAATAATGGCAACCTTTATTGGTTGTGGTAATTTAATAATGAACCATACAATAATTTCAGTGTTGAAACTTGCATCCAAATTTGCTGCCAGTCTAGTTCTTAAGACTGGACAGAAACAGTCTCATATAGTAACAAATATTATTTATTTATTTATTTAAGTTCTACGCCACCTTTCTCCTAAAAAGGGACCCAAGGCGGCTCACAATATTAAAACAAAAATTTTAAGACAATTAAAATAATATAATTAAAACATTACAAAGTTAAAATTTAAAACATAAAAAAGTTAAAAACATAATCTAAAACACCCCCCCCCCCCATAAAACCAGGCTTCCATGATTTTAAAAAGCCTGCCTGCACAGGAATGTTTTTACCTGCCAGCGAAAGGCCAGCAGGGAGGGGGCCAGTCTAACCTCCCATGGAAGGGAGACCCACAGGATGGGAGCAGCCACCAAGAAGGCTCTCTCTCGTGCCCTCATCAA